ATGCGTATGCAAGCGAGCAATGGTGCGCGTTTAGGTGATTCAACTTGTTTGTGTGAGTATGGATAATATGTATAAACGTATATGCCTATACTGTGTGAGCATATTATTATTATGTGAATGTGAGGGTGCTGTTGAAGCGCATTTCCGTGCACGTAGAAATATAGAAATAAATTTCGTGATTCCTGCATGCTGTTGAAGCTGTTACCCTCGTATTCATGAGGAAAGAAAAATGAACAAACCAGTTTTTTTCCCCTTTAGATGAACTGGATAACCCCATTTGCAAAACTGAAGAGGTATTAATTAACGTATGTTGGCACTGACCTCAGTGGCAAAGCGGGATATTGAATTGAATCTTCAGCGCTGCAGTAAACAATTAATTCATCTCTGACTGTATTGCTTGAAACATAACTTCTTTAATGTGTAGTCATAGTTATTGTGAATTAAGTGCATCGCATTTAAAGTGACCCACACTGTGTCTTAAGCACTATAAATACGAAACGATTCGGAACTGGCTGGATCTACTACATCCATCAGGGATGTCCACTACTCGTGGGGCCACATAGGGCTAGCTGTGGAGTCATGCGCGAGGAACGAATTGAATTTATTTTAATTTAAATTTTTAAAAGGGGGTAGGGGGGGGGGGGCAATTAAGTGGATTTTAATCCGAGAGTGGTCATTTAATGCAAAGAAAAAGTAAGATACAAATACTTTTAAAAGAGGAATATTTTCCAACCCGCCTTCAACAACGCATTAGGTAAGACACTGTAACAAGAAAGTCATGTGTGCTATACTGCGATCTGAACAACTGGGCCATTTTTTCCCTTTTTGGGCGAACAAAGAAAAACACATATTATAGATGTTATGATCATTTAGTATTGGGAGAAAGTATAATAGACAGACACAAACAACAAAGGGAAAATTTTTATTTTTTGTTTTAGTAGAGGTTTTACGGCGCTCGCAACAGCATAAGGTCATATGAGCGCCAAGAGGTGAATGCCAACAGAGAAGTCTTTACAGGGAATCAAGATTAATCTGAGCGTCAACATCACAAAGACTGCTTCGACTATCAAGGCATACCGGAAATAACGGGTCACAAGAGTGTGACAAACATAGCCTGCAAAAGAAGTAAAGGAAAAATGTTGATAGTAAGGATTAGGAAATAAAAAGCAGCAGTTCCTTGTTGCAGTTCAGGCACAGTTATGAGCTCGACATTGATGCATCAGCCCATTTACAATTCTACTGATTATAAGAACATGTTAAAGTAGGACCTTCCAGTGGCGCCCTCGAGCAACCCACCACACAAACACAAAATCAGAAAATCAAGCTCAGAAGCTATAACTTTAACGGAGGCCTGCAAAAGCATTTGTGTGTTGAAATTAATCGAAAGACATCAAATAGAGATTGCATAATAGTTCCGTTAAACGGACAAACAAGAAGGGTGGAGAGTCTGAATGAAAACTGACAGCAGCATCGATGCCTTGATGTGATAGTAACTGATCATATTCATCAACTTTTATCGTTTGGTTTAATCTAAAAATAAGGCTAATAAACTTGGGATTTCCCATAGCTTGATTGAATGCATGTGCACACCAAAAACCTGCTTTGGTTTTTCTTAAATAAGGGCGGACAGGAATAATCCTCTACCTCAAACTTGTCACGGTCATATAATCTCTTTCTTTCCAGGTTTTAAATTTTACAAGAGACGTCATGATTGGGGAAAGACCATCGAAAGCCACGTAATAAGATTGGAGTCAATACGTCATTAATCGCATGCAAATGTACGTAAAATAAATGATCCAGACACTTGCTGATTAGTTATCTGCTGGGAGATAGATAGATAGATAGATAGATAGATAGATAGATAGATAGATAGATAGATAGATAGATAGATAGATAGATAGATAGATAGAGAGAGAGAGAGAGAGAGAAAGAGAGAGAGAGAGAG